ACATATTCTGGGTACCAGTCCTCTGTCAGATCTATAATTTACAAATATGAAAACAGTTCTGTGGTTTGACTATTCTTTGATATCTTTGAACAGAAGTTTTTACTTTTGATGAAGTCTACTTAGCAATTTCTTTCTTTCATGGTTTTTGCTTTCTGTATTATTTCTGATAAACCGTTGTATGTTCCCAAGGCACAAAGATATTCTGCATTGTCTTATAGTATTAACTTTTGTACTTAGTGCTCATGTTTAGCTTTATGGCCCATCTTGAATTAATTTTTTATGTGTGGTTGAAGTAGGAGTCAAGATTCCTTTTTTCCCATTTAGATATCTAGTTGTTCAACATCATCTCTTTAAAAACTTTCCTATTTCGATTGTATCATGCCTTTGTTCAAACTCAAATGACTGTATAAATGTGGGACTCAGCTCTTTTTTGATCTGTTGATCTGTTTTAATCCTTATGTCGGGATTACAAGTTTTGATTACTGTAGCTTTTTATTATATTAATATATTGAAGTCAAATAATGTAAGTCTTCCAACTTTGTAATTGTTTTTCAAGATTACTGTAGATATTCTAGGTTCTTTGCATTTTATGTTAAATTTACAATCAGCTGATCAATCTCTTTTAAAAAGTGTTATGGAGTCGAGATTGTGTTAAAGCTATAGAACAATTTGGAGAGAGTTAACAATTTAGTGAGTCTTCCAATTCATGAACATAGTCTAACTACTTACTTACTTGGCTCTTTTAAATTTCTATTAGCATCTTCCATATAGAGATTTTTATAAGCCTTTTGTAAGATTTTTTTTCCAAAACAATTTTTTTTTCGATTCCGTGCACTCACCAGAGAGACAGAGAAAGACAAAGAGACAGAAAGCAAGAAATCACCCTCCCAAGGAGGATGACCATGCTGCAATCCTTCTCCTCTATTCTGCTCTTGGGATTTTGGGCATGCATACACATGTGCTTGGCATGAGTTTTAAGTAGCTGGGTACAGGACTTGAATCATGGTCAACTACATGGGAGTCCAGCAATATAACCATTATGCCATCTACTGGTCCCCCAAAATATTTTTTTATTGCTGATGCTATAGTAAGTGCAATTTTTAGGAATTTCATTTTCAAAGCTACATATATAGGATATATCTTTGTTTTTTTATGATAACATTATATCACTCCTTAGTTCTAAAAATTATTTTTATAAACTAAGAATTTACTTCATGAATAATTATGTCATCTGCACATACACTGAATTTTACTTTTCCCTTTGAGATCTGTATACTTTCTTTCTCCTACCTTATTGAAATGGCTAGGACATTCAGTACAGTATTAAATAGACATGAGGATAGGCATCTATGTCTGTAGTGATATTAGGAAGACATTTAATGATTCAATTCAACCATTCTTCTCTTAATAACCTACCTGTTTAATGACCACTTGGACTTAACAACCAGTTCTACACAGGAAATTCCCCTTTCTCGGTCTTTATCTCATTACTACAGTTAGTATTCACTACACGAAGCAATCACTATCATGCAAAACTATGTATTTCATTTATAAACTTGTACCTTATTGTGCACCCACAGTAGTGTTCAGAAGGACTAAAAACAATTACACCAGATTTATGTTATTGTGTTGTGGTGTGTCTTGTCACTTTCTGGCACTTACATAATGTATGCTTATTGTCTAGATAGAATTACTTTATTCTAGTGTGGTATTGCATGGTATCTTGATAAAATACATACCTGTCTCTCCATGACACAGCACAAGACATCCACCTTTAAGCTCCTCCCTTTACCTATTAACTTAATGATCTACTTGTAGGTGCAGAGCTTGTCCAGAAATGAGGAGTGCTTGTATTAAGGGCATTATTTCTTACGGTTTTTTTGTAGCTACCTTGTTAGATTGAAGAAATTTGTTGAGAAGTTTTATCATTAACTCATCTAATGCCTTGTCTGCATCTATAGTATTTAAATGATCATATGATTTTTCTTCTTTATTGTGATAATATAAATTATTCTGATTGATTTTTGAATGTTGAACTAATCTTCCCTTCCTAGGATAAACCTTATTTGGTCATAATGTATCATCTTTTGTATAGATCGCTGGTTTCAACTTGCTACTAATTTATAAAAGACGTTAGTGTCTATGTTCATAAGGGATGGTGGTCTGTAATTCCATTTCCTGTGATTTTTTTTTGCCAGGTGTTAGTATTAATGTCATACTTCCTTACAAAACAAGTAAGGAAGTGTTTTCTCCTCTATTTTCAGAAAGAGGTCATATAAAATGAGTGTTCTTACAGCCATAAGTGTTTGCTAAAACCCACTGGTAGAACTATCCAAGGCTGGCCTTTTCTTTATGGGAGGGTTTTAAATGATTAATTCAATTCCTTTAATAGATACAAGGCTATTCATTTGTTTGTTTGATCTGTATCCATTTTAATAAGTCATATTTTTCAAGGAATTTGTCTCCTCCATTCTCCTCTTGGGATTTTGTGTACAAACACACACACACACACACACACACACGCCCAGTATGTCTTTCAAGCCGCTGTATCCGGGACTTGAACTGTGCAGTTGTCCTTATGGGATCCAGCACCTTACCCTCCATGCCACCTGCTGACCTGCTCTCCTTTTTTTCTTAGAGGTTGTGTGTGTGTGTGTGTGTGTGTGTGTGTGTGTGTGTTTTGTTTTGTGCCTTAGGGTGCGTGTGTTCGCCAGAGAGAGAGAGAAACAGTGAGAGGGAAAGTGAGAAATCATTCCCAGGAGAAATGGCCATGCCACAATCCGTTCTCTTCCATTATCTTCCCAGGATCTTGGGCACGCACAAGCATGTGTCTGCTGTGATGTTTTTGAAGAATTTTTTATTTAGCTTTATTTATTTATTTTAATTTGACCAGAGAGAGAGAGAAAGTGAGAAAGCAAGCCACCAGGCCCAGACTTGAACCACAGTCAGCCATGTAGGAGTCCAGCAACATAACTGCTATGCCATCTGCTGGTCCCACTCTCATTCACTTTTTGAAATATGCTTATTAGAGCTTTATGCCTTCTGAGTTTGTTGTGTCAATCTTTATATTGGTTTGCTTTTTCTATAATATAAAAGTATTTATTTTAATTTAAAAAATGGTTTCCCTCAGCCTGATAATTGATGTTAGAGGAAAGCAAAATATGCTTTATGTATTTCCTGTCACTGCATGCCGTGGCATTCACCTGTTTGAGAACTAATGGAACTTTCCGATTCTATTGTCTCAGTGCCCTGTCTTAGGCAAGATTTGATAAGATCTGAGCCCCTTTTCTGTTTATTACTCATCTTTTAGCAACTTCAAACTAATTGTTTGCCTGTAGTCTTAGTCCCTCTGGTAATCCTGTATCAAACCTCAAGGAAGGGCTAGCTAGTGGGATGGTAGTTAAGGCATGGGCCTCCCACATGGCCAACCAGTGTTTAAGTCCCAGACCAGGCGGCTTGAAAATCACACCAGGCATGTGTGTGTGCATACCCAAAATTCCAAGAGGAGAGATGGAGAAGGGATTGTGGCATGACTATCTCCTCTGGGAGGTGATTTCTCACTTCCCCTCTCACCATCTCTCTCTCTCTCCTACTCTTTATCTCTCTCTAGTGAATGCATTGTCCCTATGGCAAAAACCTTAAAAAAAAAAAAAAAAAACCCTCATGGAATACTGAAATAAACAGTACAAAAAGAGTCTGACTGTCTAGTTAGTCCTCTAGATCAGTGATTCTTAATTTTTATGAATGGTAAATAAGTCAGTTTTTAGGGGACAATTAAGAATGAAGGAGTAAAAAAGAGAAGGTATAAAATTAGGGAAATGTTATGATTTTTATTTTTAAGAAAATTATGAACTTCCTTGGGAAAAGGAAATTAATGCTAAAAAAGGCTGTCCCCACCCTCCTTGAAGAATTGAGAAAGTTACAGATGGGTACACTAAGACGATTGAAGGAGTTCTTAGAAGTTAGAGACGTTGTAAAGGCAAGAAGCCTGGTATCCCACACTGAGTTGTCTAAGCATGTGGTAAATGAGATACAGAGGTAAGGGTTTTTAAAGTCAGGTGGACCCAACTTCACAACATGACTTAGAGCTTATTAGCTCTGTGCACTTGAACTAGCTGCTTGTTCCCTTTGAACTTCAGTGTCTTCATCTGTGGACAGGGGATAAGAGGACACGCTTTATAGAGCTGGTGGGAGGACTCAGTGTTGGTAGAAACGGCACTTGGCCACAGGGGCCTCTGTAAATGGGAGTTCCTATCCTCTCCTATCACCCGCCCTCTTAGCAGGTTACTTTTGATTTTTACTTCTCTGTATCTTTGGCCAGTACTAAAGTTAAGGTCATTGACTACATAGCTTCCATCTGAAGGGATACTACTCTGACACATGGTTTTAGTGGAAGACAAAAATGGTTGCCAATTTTGTAAATCATTGCTAAGATTAATAGGCTTGGCAGAAAGACTTTTTCTGTATGTAGAAGCCATTTCCACTGAATTATTTCTATGCTTGTTACACACACCCTCCCCCCTTCTTTTTTTCTTTTATTCAAAATGACTAAAATATGGAGTGGGAAGTAAATAATGTAAATGGTTTTCACTTATGTGAAAAATGATTGGTAGGAATTGAAAAATAGGATTTTCACAGTTGAAATCACTGCTTTCAAGGAGATTATGGTTGCAGCATCCTACAGGAGAATAATAATGATAATGACGGTAATAACATTACTGTGTGCTAGTTCAGTCACGTCAGATATGGGTACTATTATTATACTCATTTTTTCAGATAAAGAAACCGAAGTACAGAGAGGTTAATAGCATTCCTGTTTGCATAGTTAGGAAGTCGCAGAGACAGGATTTGAACTCAGAGAGTCTGACTCCAGCACCCACTCACTTAACCAGTGTCTCATACTAGGAGGACTAAGAGAGGACAGTTTTTTAATTAGGTAGTAAATGTCCTAAAACTGTGGTAAGTTTGTTGTTTTGAGATTGGTTGTTCTGGCTTTACAGGTATTCTGAAAGAAGCCTCACGAAGTGTATTGGAATTACTATCGAAACCAGACCAGATTATTGCATGAAGCGGCATTTAAGTGACATGTTGACCTATGGCTGCACAAGGCTGGAGATTGGGGTGCAGAGTGTCTACGAAGACGTAGCCAGAGATACCAACAGGTATGATGGCAACAAATAATCTCTGCAAGCCTTTCTCTAGCCCCACTGGTTTCTCTGCACTCATACTCATTTTGTTTTTTTCCTGTCAACCTTACAGAAAGATATACGTGTATTCCTTCTTTCAGAGTCCTTTCTGCTGTCTGTGATCTTAATTCAATCCCCCTTTTTCTTCATTTCTAGTCTTTCTCTACTAACTCTTTTCTAGGAACCCATAAAATATCTCATTGCCAAGCCAACAGGTGGCATGGTGGTTAAGGCGCTGAACTTCCACATGATTCACTGCAGTTTGAGTGGCTTGAAAATCACACCGAGTACATGTGCATGTATGTGCCCAAAATCCCAAGAGGAGAATGGAGGAGAAGAGATTACAGTGTGACCATTCCTCTAGAGGGGCAGGGGGATGGTGGTGGTAATTACTCACTTTCCCTTTCTCTCTGTCTCTCACCAGTGAGGGCATGTACCCTATGTCAAAAACCTTAAAAAAAAAGAGAGAGAGCTCATTGCCTATTCTTGTTATAAACAACCTTTCCCAAATAAACAGCAGAAAACAGGACTCTAGGTCAGTAGTTTAAAGCAGGAGAGAAGGCCAGAGAGAATAGAACAAAGGAAAGGATTCAAATAAGAAGGAGGGCAGGGTAAAATTTAAGAGATTAATTTTTGGCAGAGAAACGGAAGCTTGGTGAAGTAATGGATATGAAATTTGAAGTTTCATTGTTGATAGAACCCAAAGAAATAAGGATTGGTAGAGCCATATGAAGCTCTCTTCCCTCTGGAAATACAGAGTTGAGGAGAAAAGATATATATACCAGGTCAACTGTATGAGGAACTTTTTAATTAATTGTTCAGTTAGTGGGGAGTGGACATCCAGAGTTTATAGACAACAAAGGTCATTGACCTAGCATGGGAAAGGCAGAATTTAGGAGGAAGGTAGTGGTGGATTTGCTCTTAAAGAGGACTTGACTTTATTAGCATTTGGGTAGATGTGTTTAGGGTTGTGCTAGGAGAAGAAAGTTAAGTGAACTAGGGAAACAGACACTGATCAACATTTAGAAATCACCAAGAAGAATGCCAGGCTAAGAAGGGTAGAGTTTTCCTTTTAGGTAGTAGAGATCTGAATATTTTTGAGCACAGGGAAGAATCTAATGGATATTATACCTGAAAAGAGTAACCTGAGTAGAATTGCACTCATCTAGGACAACTAGATGAGGTGCTGTGTAACAGGGTGGTGCTTGAGAGGTACCTGTGGAAAAAGAGAAGCTTCTTGAAGGTCATAAGAGCTTTCTGAAGAAAATGACATCCAAACTGAGACTTAAAGTAAGTATATGAATTAGGTAGAGAAAAGATTGTTTCAGGTAGAAAGAAAATAAGAAGAGCAAGTTCCCAAGGACAGCAGGACATGGCATATTTAGGGAATTCCCAGTAGTTTAGTTTATTTAGAATGAGGAGTTTAATGGGAGAGTGATACAAGGTAAGGCTGAAAAGCAGAGAGGCCAAGTTTTGGAGGGTTTAGAAGCCAGCCTAAGAAGTCTAGGTTTTAATCTGGAGACAGCAGCAAACCTTTGATAGGCTGTAAGGTAGTTGTGATAGGAGCATATCTGCATTTTAGAAAGATCACTTTAGTTATGGTGGGGCAGATTAGATAAGAGCAAGCTTGATAGATTGGTTAAGAGCCTGTTGTAGTAATTTAAGCTAAAAATACTGAAGTCCTAGAAAGATCTGAATGGCAATGTTTGGTGGCTGATTGGAGATGAGGGTGGTAGAAAATGAGAAGTGGAGGAGGCTTGGAGGGAAGATGAGTTTCATTCTGAATATACTACACTAAGTTTTAGATACTAGTGGAACAACTAGTTGAAGGTTTGCCTTAGAGCAGAGCTGTCCAATAAAACATTCTGCAGTGATCAGAATGTTCTATACTTGCACTGTCGGGTATGTTTGTGCAACTGAGAAACTGAATTTTTTCATGTAAATTCATGGAAATATAAATTTGAATAACCATATCTGCCAAGGGGCTCCTGTAGTAAAGGCTTGGATGTCCGGGTGTGGAATTCAGAGGAGAGGCCTAGCCTCATCATGGAAATTTAGAGGTTGTTACAGAGATTAGAAATAAAAACCATGGAAATGGATGGAAACAGAGAGAGTGCGATGGAGACCCTGGTTTCTAGACTCTCTCTGTGGTGAAAGTGAACATCTTGATGATGGAAGATATTGACACAAGGCTTTAGTCTTTAGCTCTCCAAAAAATGTTACAAGGGCTGGCTTCCTCCTTGTGTGTGACATTAGACTGCTAAGTTACCACCATTTATTCACACAGTCCCGAATGATTCTGCCTTCTCACTAAATTATTCTACCCCCATCCCCCTTTGCTTTGAAGGATCCTTCAAACCCACCGGTGAAATCTATTTTGTAGCATAGGTTTCCCTCTTCATCTCTCTATAGATTTCATAAGATTTTTCCAGGAACAAAGAAAACAGCAAGCAGCTGCTTCCGTGTGGTTTGGAGCTCTTTCTTCTTGTGCTTGCTTGCTTGTTTGTTTTTGCCAGAGAGCTTGTACACTGGCCAAGACCAAGAGGGAGAGGGAGAAAACACTCTCCAATGTGGCATGGTCATGCTGCAATTTATTCTCCATTTCTCCATCCTGTTGGGGTTTGGGGCACACATGCACATGGGCCTGTCGTATTTTTCAAGCCACCAGGGTGGGGATTCAAACTGCAGGGTTGGCTGTGTGGGATTTGGCTCTCTTAACCACGAGGGCAGATCCATTTTTCTTGTTTTTTGTGTTTTTTGTTTGTTTGTTTGGGTTTTTTTTTTTTTTTTTTTAGTGTATAATAACTTGTTACCTCAATCATTTTTGAGCACTGTGAATAAATGCAAAAGAAAATGCCTGAGAAGTATCTCACAAATAGAAGTATTTACTTTCAGGCCTCCTCAGAGGTGGAGATGTAAAAAATGATTTTCTGAGATTTTTTTTTTCTTCCCTCCTGCCATAGATTCTTGGTTGTAGAACTTCTGTTACATGTATGTCTCTGAGGTGATTTTTCCTCTACTCTTTGTGTTAACTCTGCTTCTCATTTATGTGTGTAACAGAGTGAATTTTCTTTCCTCAGGGGCCACACTGTGAAGGCAGTGTGTGAGTCATTTCACCTGGCCAAGGATTCTGGTTTCAAAGTTGTAGCTCATATGATGCCTGATCTGCCAAACGTGGGACTGGAAAGAGACATCGAACAGTTTACTGTAAGTGTTTCCTTCAGCCAGGCTAATCTGGAATGCCACTGCATGCTTCTTATACCTTCTCTGCTTTTATTGCTTGCTGTTGTTTTTCCATTATGAAAGCAATACATCCTCATTATGGAATATTAGAAATGAAGTCACATCAGACAAAACTCTCACATTTCAGTATATCCCTTCTGAGATGTATGTATGTATTTATTTATTTATTTATTTATTTTTGAGAGAGATTTTTGCTATAGTGCATGTGCGCTCACCAGACAGACAGAGACATAGAGACAGAAAGCAAGAAATCACCCCCCAGGAGGGATGGTCACGCTGCAATCCCTTCTCCTCCATTCTCTTCTTGGGATCTTGGGCACGCACGCACGCACGCACATGCGCCCAGCGTGAGTTTTAAGCCACCGGGTCCGGGACGCGAACCACGGTCGACTACGTGGGAGTCCAGCAACATAGCCATTACGCTAACTGCTGGTTCCCGAGATGTATTTATTTTTTAAATTTATTTTGTAGAGAAATTTTTTTGCTGTAGGGTATGTATGTTCATCAGACAGACAGAGACAGAAAGCAAGAAATCACACCCCAAGAGGGATGGCCATGCCACAATCCCTTCTCTTCCATTCTCCTCTTGGAATTTTGGGAATGCATGTTCACATGCCTGGCATGACTTTTATGCCTCCAGGTCCAGAACTCAAACCACAGTTGACTACGTGGGAGTCAAGTGACGTAACCATTACACCATCTGCTGGTCCCTATTTATTGATTTACTTAGGCTTTTTTTTGTGGGCGAGGCTCTTTATACACATGTAACAGAGGCACAATTACATATATTAGGTTGGTACAAAAGCAACTGAAGTTTCAAACCATGAATTTTAAATCATTATAACTAGGTTAAAACATGCCTTTATTAATCCAAATAGAAACCATTATATTCAGCACATTTTTGTCAAAGAGAAGTTTGTTTGTTTATTCCCATAGCCAAAAAATCTGTGCTTCAGGATTCAACGAACTCTTGGAAAGCATCTTCTGCATCTTGCTCGTTGTGGAAACATTTTCCCTGCAAAGAGTCGTCGCAGTGCTTGAAGTGGTAGTCAGTTGGTGAGAGGTCAGGTGAATATGGCAGTTGAAGCAAAACTTTATATCCCAATTTGTTCAACTTTTGAAGCATTGGTTGTGCGACCTGCAGTTGGGCGCTGTTGTGGAGAAGAATTGGACCCTTTCTGTGGACCAATGCCAGCTGCAGGCATTGCAGTTTTCAGTGCATCTCATCAATTTGCTGAGCACACTACTCAGGTGTAATGGTTTCATCAACATTCAGAAAACTGTAGTGGGTCAGACCCCACCAAACAGTGACCATGATCTTTTTTTTTGTGCAAGTTTGGCTTGGGAAGGGCTCCATTTGGAACTTCTCTGTTCAGCCACCGAGCTGGTCATCAATTGTGTAAAATCCACTTTTTGTCACATGACACAATCCAAGGAGAAATGGGTCATAGAATAAGAAAAGACAACTTCAAAACAGTTTTTTTATTTAATTTTTTAAAATTTATTCATTCATTCATTCGTTTTAATTTGACCAGAGAAAGAGAGAGAGAGAGGAAGTGCAAAAGCAAGTCACCAGGTCCAGGACTCAAACCATGGTCGGCCATGTGGGAGTATCCAGTGCCTTAACCACCATGCCACCTGCTGATCCCAAAATGATTTTTTTTAAGTCAGCTCATGAGGCACCGAGGCACCCACTTATCACGCTTTTTTACTTTTCCAATTTGCTTAAAATACTGAACGACTGTAGAATGGGCAGCATTGAGTTCTTCTGCAACTTCTCATGTAGTTGGAAAAGGATCAGCTTTGATGATTGCTCTCAGTTGGTCATTGTCAATGTCTGATGGCTGGCCGCTATGCTCCTCATCTTCAAGGCTTTTCTCTCCTTTACAAAACTTGAATCACCACTGCACTGTGTGTTCATTGGCAGTTCTTGGGCCAGTGCACATTGATGCAGTGAGTTGTCTCTGCTGTTCTACGACCCATTTTGAACTCGACTAAGAAAATCATTCGAATTTATTTTTTGTCTAACATCATTTCCATAGTCTAAAATACATATAAAATAAATAGCAAGTAACAAGCCGCTAGCAAAAAAATAATAATAAAATGAGAAATTTGTGTTATAATTATGTTATTTACAGTCAATTAGGTACTGACTGTACCATTAGGCTAGGCCTTTAACCAATATTGCAAGACTTACTGTAATGCTAGCACTGTGTTGGACATTTACATACATTGTTCACCCCTCACAATAACTTGTAGCTTGCTTCATTCAGGTCATGTGGTTAGAAAGTACTGGCATCAGGAAAAAAAAAAGGAAAGAAAGTGCCAGCATCAGAATTCAAGTCTAGGATCCCTTGTCTCTAAATCTAATTTAATCCAGGGGCTCTATTCCAGAGGCTTACACCAGAGAAGCTTTTTAAAAATACATATGCCCAGCCCAAGGCTCCAGTTTTAATAGAAGTCCCACAGTGGCTCTAACGTGCAGCCAGGCTGAGGACCATAGAGCAGAACAATGAAGGATCCTGTGTAGCACAGACCCATGTGAGACCTCACAACTCCATCCTGTCCCTGTATCTTTACATCATGTTTTAGTTATATGACTAGTCAGTGTTCACATTGTAATTTCTACAATTGTTATTTACCCAGAACCAAATAATGCTTTCTTAATATGTAAGTACAGATACATACCGAACAGGTATGTCGTGTTTTTTTTTTTAAGAATTATTTATTTAATTTTATTTGTTATTATTTTTAGAAATTTGACCAGAGAGAGAAAAAGTGAGAAAGCAAGCTGCCAAGTTTAGGACTTGAACTGCAGTTAGTGCCTTAACTGCTGGCCCTGGGAACATTTTCTGAATACTCTTATTTTTGCTAGAGTTACTGATTTCCTTGTTTTTTATTCTATGTTGTTAATTTTTTTTTTTTTTTTTTTAGAGAGAGAGATTTTTGCTATAGGGCACATGTGCTTGCCAGAGAGGCAGAGAGATAGAAAGTGAGAAATCACCCCCCCAGGGGGGATGGCCATGATGCGATCTCTTCTCCATTCTCCATTCAGGATTTTGGGTACACATGCACACGCACCTGGCATGAATTTTAAGCTGCCGAGTCCAGCCCTCAAACTGTGGTCGACTACGTGGGGGTCCATTGATGTAATCATTAGGCTATCTCTTGTTCCCAACTAATTTCATTGTTTTTAATTCATTCATTTTTTTATTTGTTTGGTGTTCTGTGCACCTGTAACTTTTAAATGTACCCATTCAATGTTAAGCTCCTCTCAGTGGCATAACATATCAGATGTTCTTATTAGGTCCTTTTTCAGCCTAAATCTTGGAGGTCCTATAGTTTAGTTCTACACTGGCCTGCAGGTCTGTACTTCACACACAGAGCTGTCCTTGAGGCTTCTCCTCTCTGTTCCTTGTACAGATCCCTTACTTTCTGACCCCAAGTTATCTTCTGCATTCATGTATGCTGTCATTTTGCTAAAACACATTCTCCAGCAGTTTCCTAAAAAGGGGCTCATTATGGTTTCATTATAAACCTTTTGCATGCTTGAGAATATCTCTATTCTACCTTCACACTTAGAGAATTTTAGGATGAAAATCATGTTCCCTCAGATTTTCTTTAAGGCATTGCATCATTATCTTCTAGCTTTTAGCTCTTAAGTCATCCTCAATTGTTCTGATTCCTAATTTTACATTCATTATTGCTTAATCTTATAATTTATATAACCTGGGTTTTATTTCCCCCCCCTCTCTTAAATGCTTTTAGAAATGTCTCTTTATTCCTTTATGTAGGTTGTGGAGTTGTGGCATACTGTTTTAGTCAGTGATGTTGCCAATGACAGCAATACATGAGTCTGGGTGATTTCTACAGAATACAAGTTTACTGAGTCCAGCCACAGTGGCACACAGTTAGTGCCATCATTTTGGAGGCTGAAAGCCATATAGGAGGCCTAGGTTCAGTCTTGGGCCAACCTGGCATAGTTGCATGTACCAGTAGTCCTCGTTATTTGGGATACTGTGGCAGGAATATTGTGACACAGTGAGACCCTGTTAAAAAATACCTATCTCTGCCCCCCTATCCCAACCCCTTCATAAAAGGGAGAAAAAAAGAATAGAGGTTTTAGCTCATAGTTTTGAGGTCCAGATTTGAGGAGCTGCATCTATGAGGGTTTTCTTGCTAATGGCTCCCCAAGGAGTCCAAAGTGGTGCATGACATCATATAGCAAGATAGAGCAAGAGCATGTGTGTCCATGTCCACGTCCCCGTTTCATTCCCTCCTTATAAACCCACCAGGTCTGAATCGTGAGGCCCCCACCCTGCGACCTTAATCCTAATCATCTCGCAAAGGTTCTACATCGTGATTCCATAGTCAGATTAAGTTTTTTACTCTCTTGATCTTATCTCAGCCAAATTTTGTCATGTAAATTTGAGGAGGACACATTTAAACCATAGCATATATCTTGGTAAGACATTTATTTGGTTGTTTTTTTCTCCAGAGAGTGCATGTGCTTGCCAGAGAGAAAGAGAAAGCACCCCCAAGCCCCACTGGAGATGGTCACACTGCAGTCCGTCTCCCCCATTATGGGATTGAGGGCATGCATGCACACAAGCATAGTGTGTTTTTCAAGCCACCAGGTCCAGTACTCAAACCATGCTATGGCCATTTAGAATCCAGTCACCTTAACCACCATGCTACAAGCCAGCCCAGTAAGATGTTTAATTAATTGTGCTATTGAAGGACTTTGGCATCTGAGAAATCTTTTTGTACTACTTGATAACGTTTCACCTTTTCATTGTCCTATGTTCTTTCTAAAACTCCAATTTAGAAATGTTAGATCTCCCAGATTGTCATCTGATATTCTTACCTTTGCTACGTTCTATCTTTTTTGTTCTGCTTCCTGTTTTCTCCGCTATTTTTCATAAGTATATTTATTTATTCCATGAGAGAGAGAGGGAGAGATGGAGAGACAGCATTCCCAAGAGGATCTTCATGCCATGATACACCCCAGCCTCATCCAGCTGGGGTCATGGGCATGTGTATACCAAATGTGCTTAAGATTGCCTCGGACCCAAACAAAGGACCTTTCTCATGTGGGTCCAGAATATGTCTTAAAGACCTGACAGATCTTTAAAATACCAGTGTTACAGGAAAGATTGCACAATTACAGAAGAATGTCTCTAAGACCAAATGGTGCACAAAGAATACAGTATTTAAGAATGAAACAGAAATCAATGAGAGAGATCAAAAAGTCTATATTCACATTTTTTTCTAAGAACAATGAAAAGTTAAGCAGTGAGAAGCTTTGTAAAAAGCAATGTAGCCAAAGATTAAAAAGCGTTTTACATTGATAAACTATACAGCACTGCTGCCAGATAGTCACAAATGCCAAAGTGGGAATGAGGGGAAGCTGCGAATCTACCTTCATTCCTCCAATACATGTTGGGCAAAGTCAGGATTAAATGATCTGCACAAGGTCATGGGAAGGAGCATGCCTTTGTCTCATTGCTGTATTTCAGATGACTAAAGCAGCCATCTGGGAAGATATTTTACAAGAAATGACTAAGCCAGAAATACATGGATTAGATGTATTGCTTAGTGTCCAGATAACAAATGGACAGTGTGTAGCCCAGGTTAGGAATGGTGCCAGTTGGCCTAAAGACAAAATAGTCATATCCAGGGATTTGCAAACTTTCCATAAAGAGTCATGTAGTAAACATTTTAGGTTTTATAAGCTAGATGATCTCTGTCACAACTTTTTAAAGAAGGATATAGTCCAACATTGAAGGCAGACATTGAATATATCGTCAGCATGATGATAAGAAAGAGATAATACAGGATTCAGTGGAGTTTTTTTTTTTTTTAAGTGAAGCAGCTAATATTTATTTTATTATTTTATTTTTGGAGAGGTTTTTGTTATAGGATACATGTGTTCACCAGAAAGACAGAGACAGAGAGACAGAAAGCAAGAAATCACTACCCAGGGGGGATGGCCACGCCGCAATCCCTTCTTCTCCATTCTCCTCTTGGGATCTTGGGCATGCATACACAGATGCTCAGCGTGAGTTTAAGCCACCACGTCCGAGACTCAAACTGTGCTCGACTACATGGGAGTTCAGCGACATAGCCATTATGCCAACTGCTAGTCCTGGGGTAGCTAGTATTTAAAGTTCAGAAAGACCTCTCTAAAGAAGCAGTATTCCACTGATCTCCGAAGATGAGCTAGATACGTAAACGTTGATAAACTGTCCAGACAGGTCATTGCCTTTGCAAAGGCAGAAAGGCAGTGTGGTGAGGGGTGGATGAGAAAAGATTGTACCAATTAGACAGGGTTGGATTGGGGAGGGCCTTGCAGTCCACCACACACATACTTTGCTCCAAAAAGGCTAGAAAAACAGTAAGCTTCTGTTCTAGTCTTTCCTTGAAGGAAAGGAAATGTCCCAAGATCTGCTGAGTATGTAAGGGAACCTGCCCAGGGTTGAGACTTCACATGAGTAATCACTACACCAGTAATAGAGAAGTTATCTTCTGTTCTTTGTTCACAGGAGTTTTTTGAGAACCCTGCTTTCCGTCCTGATGGTTTGAAACTCTACCCTACCCTAGTAATTCGTGGAACTGGGCTTTATGAGCTTTGGAAGTCAGGAAGATATAAGAGTTACGCTCCAAGTGACCTCATTGAACTGGTGGCTCGGATCCTGGCCCTTGTACCTCCGTGGACTCGAGTGTACCGAGTGCAGAGGTAGTATTATCTTTTACTCCCAAAGTCATTGGTAACTAATTTGTCTGCTTATAATTTCTCATGGGAAAAACCTGATTTCTTATTGAGGGTTTCGATTTTTTTTTTTTTCATTAAAATAGGATGTCTGGAGTATCTATTTGTACATAGACAAGTACGGAAGAAGAACAACTGCCATAGCAACTTTGCCAATATCATATTGATTAATCTGTCCACTCACTCATGCGTTCATGATGCCTGGAGATGGCATCACGGTGGCAAAGAAGGACAGTACTTGGTTCTGAGGAGCTTGTGATCTAGATTAGAATTTCTTCCAGGTCACTTCAATCTAGGTACAGTTACTGATGTGAGAAGAGCAAGAATAGTCATGGATCTTATCTATGTTCTAGAGCCTCTAAAGGAGAAAGAAAGAGTAGCAACAGTCATCTTTTATAGATATTAATGTAAAAGTGCAGAAAGAGTGATACATTCCTGAGAACATGAAGAAAATAAAATAATTTTAACTTTTGTCTTCCTGGGAGAGAAAGCTTAAAGATCTCATTTGCAATCCTGGACCTTACTTATTACTTAGTTGCCAGAAACATGGCATAACATTGCAGAGAAATTTTAGAAGGCACAAGTTATCTATGATCCTACCAAAGTCATTCCTGCATTGGCCAGTCATGAAGGCACATCCCCACCACCTTGTTAAAAACCACCCTGGTTTCCCATATTACAAATATGAGGCCAAAACTGACTGACAAATAATGCATATATAATCAGCTACTGTGACTAGTACTGTACTGAGCATGAAAAATGTGTTGCTTGGGATACAAAACAGTAAATACTAAAAATAAGGAATTATCAACTACAGTCATGAACTATGTGACCTTTCAGCCAATGACAAGCCACATGTATGTCGGTGGTCCTGTAGGATTCTAATAGGCCATACAAGGCAAGAAGTAAGCTGACCATCTAGGTTGGAAGGTACACACTATAGTGTTGACACAACAAAGGAACCTAATGACACGGTTCTCAGACTGCATCCCTGACGTTAAGCATCGCATGACTATACTTAAGGAAAATTATCAGGGACGTAAAGCAATAGATTTGCTTAGAGGTCAAAGGACATTTACACTGTATTTTTCCACAGCATAATAATGTCTCAAAATTTTTTAATTATTGATTCTAGGATAAAAATGGCCTATGATCTCTATTTTTTAAAAAAATATATATACCTAAAAATATTTAGGGAATATTGAATAGAAAAGTCAGCTATTGAAATCGTTTGCATTATCCTTCCCCTTATTTTTCAACCCTTCTAGAACAAGTCAGTCTCAACTGGGCTGAGTAATGTAGGCATTAGCATGGAGGAGGTAGGAAGCTACAGAGTCCCAGAGCAGGGTGAGAAGGTCACTTGTGGAGAAGGCAGTGGGATGGTACAGGCATGGTTAAGCCAAAATGTGGTGAAAAGGGCATTTATTCTTTTAGATGGTCTATAGGATGTCAGAGCTGAGCAGTGTATGGAGGGTGTTTCCTTGGAGGTGGGAAAGTGTAGGAAAGAGATAGCAATGAAAGGTTGGTTATGTATAGGGGTTGATGTCATCAGTAATTATGTTAAAGTAATAGTGTTAGGCATTTTGTTATGTGAAAAAGAAGAAAGGTAGAATGAAGGCCATGGTGTTTTAGAATAGGAGATATTGGTGCAAACGCCTGGTTTCCAATATATATAGGCAGATGTAGATGTAAATGTAATGAATAATAACTATAGAGTGTGTGTGAGTATGTGTAGGTTCTTTTTTTGTTTGTGTGTTGTTTTATCTTAAGGTAGGGTCTTGTCCTGTACAATACAAGGTTCTGAACTAGATCTTTTTGCTATAGAGAACTTAATGGAAACAATTTAATGGGGTCTAGGATTGTGTAGTATTAAAATATTCATATTAATTTCCTGATTTTTCCACAAGAATTCAAAGAATTCATGGAAAAGTAGAATTAAAGTTTATTTTGCTGTAAATTTTGTTTTTTGAAATCTGTAGGTTTTTCATAATATACACTCTCATTGCATTTTTTTGAAGACCCCTTATATAAGAGAATATCCTTGTAGGAAATATTGAAGTATTCTGAGGGTGTTGGTACAATTTGTTTGTGACTTACTTTCAAATACGTAGGGAAATAGTTATTTATATTGCACTTGGAGCTTTTTCTGTAGCTTCCAGATTGTTTCAAAAAATTTAAATTACACAGTAGATAACAAAGATTCCATAAATAGCATTACCAGAGACAAAAGGAAAAGATCATTTGCATTTAACTGGCTTGGGTAACCAGAGAACTACATCTGCCTAGCAGCAGAGCATGAGGACAGATACCACAGAATAGGTACCAGTTTCACATCCAGAGATTCCATAGTCTTCCTACCAAAAGTAACGAAGTATAGTTCACACTGGCAGTCAGGTGAAAAATTTGCATTCCTCCCCTTGGTTTTCAGCTTGAAATTTTGTTTCTCTCTTGGTGTGTATGTATGTGCACACTCACAGAGAGAGAGTGTGTACACTCACCAGAGAGAGAGGGAGGGGGAAAGTGAGAAAGCACCTCCACTTCCATGGGGCATGGTCACACTGCAATCCCTTCTCTATTTCTCCCTCCTTTTAGGATGTTCAGCATGTAGTCAAACATGCCCAGAGTGTGTGTATTTTTGAATCAAATGTAGCAGAGGCATTGCTATATTCTAAGAGCTTAATTTTATAGACTTTATGAGACTATGGGACAATATCCTGACATATCACCAGCTGAGAAAAATAAAGATTTGGACAAAATAAAAGCAGCAAATATAATCATTATAGGAAAAAGGTCCTAATGGGAAAAATAAAGAACATATATGTTATCTAACCAAAAGGCCATTATGACCAGAAAGTCATGACATTATGGACAATTAGAGGCCTATTAAAGAAAGCTTCTCATTCTCATGACGCCTTTACATAACTCCTAGGAAGAATTCGATGTAGAATACTCTCCTAGCTCTAGTTTCACAAGGCCAAACTGGGGGTTATATTCCTCTATCAGTGTACCCCGTAAGTGCTGTGAGGGAGGAATGGCACAAATAGGTGCAGGCTTAAGGTTTTGGAGTGACGCTGTATAGCTTCACATGTACATAGTACATGGGTGATTTATAATTAATGCAGTAGCATCAAGCAAGAGGTGATGGTGAAATCCCTTTAAAAATGTAGAATGAGTACTGTCCTTGGTGAGTCTGAGGGCAGTTTATTGTTTGAAGATAGTGGTGATTCAATTCCTAACAGTAAATGCCATTGGTAAAGAGAGCCATCTGGATTCTCATGCTTTGGAGCTAATCATTTCCTTAACTTTGAATACGATCATTCATTAGGTATTTTAGTCTGGATTTCTAGGAAAAGCTAAAGGGTAAAATTTTGAAATAAAATACTAAGTAAGGTGTTAATAGGTAAGTGAAACATTATATACGAATGTGTCCAAAAAAAGGCTAAGTCTTTAGACAATGGTAAGTGAAAAACCTTCTGATTTGGGAAAGATCATGAGGTTTTACTCAGATGTTTCTTCTTACCAAAAGTAACGAAGTCTAGGTCACAGTGGCAGTCAGATGAACAATTTGCTTCAGTCAAACTTGTAGAGCCATTCTGAGATTGTAGAAAAATTGCCGTTAGTCTAAGAATGCAGTTAAGCACCCTTACTCTGTTTAACTTTGAAGTAGTTATATCTAACTAGAAAGAAATCACTGGCAAAGGAGAAGAGCCTTCAGGATGTTTAATATAGACAATTTCAATAATGAGAGGTTATTTTAAGTCAAAAGTAAAGGAAAATCGCGTGTGTCTTTCTGGTCTGTGCCTTTAGAAAATCTGCCCATTTGTATAGAGGGTCACCAAGTGGCAGCTTCTTCCAACAGCAATAACATACTTGGTGCTAAGAGAAGCTGAACTATGTAGTGTATGTGGAGAAGATCTTAGGAGCTATATTTGAGGCAAGTATCAAATGGGAGGAAGCAAGAAACAGAAGATAATCCAAGTGAGAGGACACAATGTTTTATATATTTTTTCACTCTACTATAGATTACTTGACATTTTTAATCAGTTATTTTTCCATCCTGTCTCATTCCCAGACCCCCTTCTCTTTTTTAAAAAAACTATTTTACATTTTTTTTGATTGATTGATTGATTGATTGATTGATTGGAGAGATCTTTGCTATAGGGCACGTGCGGTCTCCAGAAAGAGAGACAGAAAGCGAGAAATCATCCTCCAGGGGGGATGGCCACGCCGCAATCCCTTCTCCTCCATTCTCTTCTCAGGATCTTGGGCAGGCACGCACATGCACCCAGCGTGAGTTTAAGCCACCGGGTCCGGGACTCAAACCACTGTCGACTACATGGGAATTCAGCAACATAGCCATTACTCTAACTTCTGGTCCCACATTTTTTACTTTTTTGACAGTTGAGTCACTAACACATCTTTTTTTTTTTTTAATTCATTCATTTATTATTATTTTTTTTAGTTTGACCAGAGAGAGACAGAGGGTGAGACTGAGAGAGAGAGGAAGTGAGAAAGCAAGCCACCAGATTCAGGACTTGAACCCTGGTCGGCCATGTGGGAGTGTCCAGCGCCTTAACCACCACGCCACCTGCTGGTCCCGCCACTAACACATCTTACTGGATATTTTTCTTCCTAGTAGAAGATTATGGATTCTAGCCTGGAAGGGTTCAGTCAATGATTAAATGTAAAATTCTACCCAGACACATGATGGAGCCACATTAAACTCTATTGCCTTCAGGCTATTTGACAGCTGTCTGCCTAGATGTGATATTTAAATCACTGTGAAGCATTAGAATAGCAGTACCAATTTGCAACCAAAACATGCCTCTGAAGCAGGAGAAACCTCAGCAGAGAAAAGCTCTAGACATCACTTTGCAAGTTTTTTGATGAACAAATTGCAAGTATCAGCACCTCTAAGCTTGAAATGTTAGCGTGTTGAAATTGAAAAAGTAATATACTGGTATATA